TAGTAAAACAACATACACCATGATCAAGGGGGAATTTATCCCTGGGATGTAAGGGTGGTTCAACACATGCAAATCAATAGATGCAATATAGTACATTAATAGAATGAAAGATAAAGCATACAATCATCTCAATAGAGGGAGAAAAAGCATTTGGCAAAATTCAACATCCTTTCATGACAAATGGCTCAATAAAGCAGATACAGAAGGAAAGTAACTCAACTTAATAAAGGCCATATTTGGCAAGCCCACAACTAACATCATACTTGATGGTGAAAAGCTGAATGATTTTCCTCTACGATGAGGTACAAGACAAGGGTGCCCACTTCTATTCAACATAGTACTGGAAGTCTTACCCAAAGCATTAAGGCAGGTAAAAGAAATAAAAGCCGTCCAAATCCAAAAGGAAGGAGTAAACTGTATGCAGATTATGTGATCTTAAATATAAAACCCTACAAAAAATTCCCCAAAAAACCTGTTAAAATGAATAAATGGATTTAGTACAGTTGCAGAACACAAAATCAACATGGAAGTAGCAGCTGTATTTCTACAGATATCAATTAACTACCAGAAAGAGAATTAAGAATACAGTGCTATTTACAATAGCATCAAAACCAAGAAAAGAGGACAAAATTTAACCTCGATGATAAAACATCTGTACGATGAAAACTATTAGACTTTGATGAAAGGAACTGAAGACACAAATAAATGAGAAAAGATTCTATGTTCATGGATTACAAGAATTAATACTGCTAAGATCTAAACTACCTAAAGCAATCTACAGATTTCGTATTTGTTACTCAAAGCCACAGTATTCAAAATACTGTGGTAATGGCAAAATGACAGATATATAGATCAATGGAGTAAACCAGAAATAAAGCCTCAACGTGTAAGGTGAAATGATTGTTGACAAGGGTGCCAAGAGCATTCAGTGGGGAGAGGACAGTCTTTTCAACAAATACTGTTGGGAAAACTGGATATCCACATGCAGAAGAATGAAGTTGGACCCTAACTTTACACCATATTTAAAAAATTAATTGATCAAAGATCTATACATAAGAGCTAAAATTTTAAAACTCTTTGAAGAAAACATAGGGGAAAGGCTTCATGACATTAGATTTGGCAATGATTTATTGAATATGCCAAAAGCACAGATAACAAAAGAAAAAAAATAAACTGAAATATGTGAAAGATTCTATCGACAGAATGAATAGACAGGCAAGCCACAAAACTGGGGAAATATCTGGAAACCATATATCCATCAGGAGAGTAATGTCCTGAATATATAAAGAACTTCTACAATTTAACAACAATAAAACAAACCACCTGATTTAAAAATGGGTAAAAAACTTCAATACACAGTCCTCCAAAGAAGATAGGCAAATGTCAATAAGGACAAGAAAAGATGTTCAATATCACTGATCATTAGGATTAGTATAGCTATTATCAGAGTAACAGAAAATAACATCAGGGAGACTGAAAAAAATCAAAACCCTTGTGTACTGCTAGTGGGAATGTAAAATGCTATGCAGATGCTATGGAAAACGGTGTAATGGTTTCTCAATACACTAAAAATTGAATTACCGTATGATGCAGAAATTCTACCTCCGGGTATGTACTCAAAAGAACTGAAAGCAGATCTTGAAGAATTATTCGTACATCCATGTTAACAGCAGCAATATCCACAATATTCAAATGGTAGATGCAATCCAAGTCCCCACGGACAGATAAATGGATAAACAAAATCTGGTATATACACACAATGGGATATTATTCAGCTTAAAAAATGAAGGAAATTCTTACAGTGATGAACCCTGAAGACATTCTGCTAAGTAAAATAAGTCAGTCACAAGGAGACAAATACTGCATGATTCCATGTATATGATGTACATACAGTAGTCAAATTGGTAAAGACAGAAAGCAAATTGGTGTTTGCCAGGTGCTGGAAGTAGGATAGATTGGGGAGTTAGTGTTTAATGGATATGGAATTTCAATTTGGGAAGATGAAGAAAGTTCTGGAGATGAATGGTGGTAAATGGTTGCACAACACTGTGAATGTATTGAATGCCACTGAAAAGATACTTCAAAAATAATTAAAATGGTAAATTTTATGTTATGCATACTTTTACCTTAGTAAAAAATTTTAAAAAGTTACCAACAAATGTCAAGAAGAAAACACTTCATAACTACCCAATCATGTTTTCTGAACTTATCAGTCAGAGTAGCTTTTGGACACTTCTTTGCAAGTCTTGCTTGGTAACTGTACACCATCTTTTATTTTTTTTTTTAAGATTTTATTTATTTATTCATGAGAGACAGAGACAGAGACAGAGAGAGGCAGAGGGAGAAGCAGGCTCCCAAGGAGCAGGGAGCCCGATGCGGGACCCGATCCCAGGAGTCTGGGATCATGACCTGAGCCGAAGGCAGACGCTTAACCATCTGAGCCACCCAGGCGCCCTGTACACCATCTTTTAGACTATGGGGCAGTTTCAGCTGAGATCCTGCAACCCAGGTAAACTGAGTCAGAAAGTTTCCTATCAACATCCTGGCATAAGCCTGCAACCCAACCTTTCCATTTCTTTTTTCTGTTCCTTCAAGAAGTTAGAATGTAGAAACATATTTCTCTATTCCAAAATACCTGGGCAAAACCATGAATAATATATTCTTTTATCAAACTATACATAAATGAAACTGAATGAAGTATAACCATATAAATCGATATGTATGAATGTTAGGTACGTAACACTGAATCAAAAAAAGCAGGATATATGGCCATTCTAATTAATCTCGAAATCAGCAGAACCAATTACTGTTTACAGATTCATAATTCATGCTATTTTTTAAAAGGCAAATCACTGACACACATACATGCACATGCACACACACACACACACACACACACACACGAGTGCACACCATTTGGAATAGTCAGTAGGGAAAGTATACCAGTGGATACACCGTCATGACCCATACTGTTACTCCTGTTAGGTGGTGGGTTCATAGATACACATTCCATTATACTCCACAACGTGGCATGTTTCCCACATTATCTCTTCATGTACAACATTTCAGTGTCTTAGAAAAAAGAGTCTGAACTACAACTCTGGTGCTGGGAATGGAAAGGATGAGACTGCGTGAAAGAATTACCCCTTTTCTTCTTCCTCAGAACTTGATTTGTCCATAACATGGCAGGGGGCCCCGGGGCCAGGTGCCATATTTGGGGCCCTAAAACCAACCATGAGCATGTTTTCCTCAGACTGGGAACTTTCTGAAATGGTGCTGAGGCCATTCCAAACAAACTAGGTATCCCAAACTCCACTTCTAAACATGGGAAAATCCCTCGCTTCGATAGGTGAATGAGTGCTGATCTGCAATAGTTCTTTGCTTGTGATCATCCCTGTAATCTAGAAACTGTACACTTCAACTTTTTGTGCCTCCACCACAACTGGTTTGAGCTGCATCCTTCCTTCCACCTTACGGAAATTAGCTTAGGCCACGTCAGCCCTTTGAACCTTGAGACAGTGAGATATTTTAGTGACTGAAAGACCCCAAGAGCTGATAGTCTTTCCTACACCTAGGAGGTTCCTTCATGTCATTTTTCTCATGTCAGAGATGATTTTAAATGAGCACTGGGTGTTATACATAAATAATGAATCACAGGACACTACATCAAAAACCAATGAAGTACTGTATGGTGACTAACATAACAAAAATAACTGATTAGATCACACATTTACAAGTTTTAAATTGCTGTTCTGTTTTTGTACTTTTTTTTTCAATTAGTTTCTATAGATGGCAAGTTATAAACTGGTTTCATTTAGTGTTACTAATATAAACTTTTCTTTTAAAGAGAAATGCATTTGTAAATCAAACTATGAGTTGCTTTAAGTAAAAAATCAAATAATGTAGTTAGCCTTTACATATGTTAAAGATTATAAAAAAACTGCAAGGAAGGCTTGGTCGAGAAACCCAGACTTCACCCAAATCCTTAGTGTCCCCAAATGTGCTCTGGCAACAGAACTCCCATTTGCTCCCACACATCTCAAGACGGTTGCTGTGGCCTGGAGCCTGTATCTGTGAACACCAGGGGGCGATATCTGGACTGTCCTGGAAAAGGGCCAAGGAGGGGAGCCCCAAGCTCAGAGCACTGCAAGGATTCCTCTCGCTCGGATGCCATCCCTCCTTCAGATCTCTCCCTTTCCCTTCGAGTTCCTGTCATCTCCACACTCCTGCCTCTTCTTTCCCCTAATTTTATCCGTAAGCATCTCTTGGGAGGTGTGCATTATCTGAACACAGAAGGGAACTGACATTGCTTTGTTTCCACCACATGCACCTTAATCCTTACCACAACCACGCAAGGTGGGAGCTGCTGTTACACTTCACAAACGAGGGAACGGAGACTCAGGGAGAGGAGATCACTGGCCCAGGAGGTAGCTAAGTCACGATTCCAACCTGGGACTACAGGTTTGCATGGACCCACTGAACTCCTGGTTCTCTATCGGGGTTCTAAGATCCAGGGAGGGCTGTTGTTTACACATACTCTCTGGAAGGTCTCAAAAAGCATTCTTGTATTAGCAAACACATGGCAGAGGTTTTGTGGGGCCAGGCGTGGGCAGGGGCAGGCCAAACTGGGCAAATATTCATGCAAATGGCCGGCCCTGGAAAACTTACAGGAAAACAGTCTGAAGTCTGTAACACAGAACAGCTATAGTTCTCTTGTGTACTGGATTTGCAATCAATGATTTCCTTTGCTCAGTATGTTCACATAAGGCTTTCCTGTGTGTGATCTCTGAGGTTTGACTTCAAGATCTAAGTTTTTCCACATTCTTTACACTCAGAGGGTTCCTTTCACTGTGTGAATCTCCTGAGGGTTTCTTAAGCCTGATTTATGACTTAGAGCTTTCCCACATTTATCCCATTAATACAGATCTTCCCCTTTATGAGTTTCCTGATGTCCTCTGAGGACTCATCTATAGGTGAAGGCTCTGCCATGCTCATTACATTCACAGAACTCCTGTATGAGTTCTCTGTAGTAACCTTAAGACAGATTTCTCACTAAAAGCTTTCTCACATTTGTCATATTTAGAGAGTTTTTCCCTTTTATGAGTTTCCTGATGTCCTCTGAGGATTGATTTATAGGTGAAGTCTCTGCCACACTCATTACATTCATAGGGTTTTCCCCCCCGCTGTGTGAGTTCTCTGGTGTAACCTTAAGCTAGATTTCTTGCTAAAAGCTTTCGCACATTCATTACACTCCTAGGGTTTCTCTCCTGTGTGAATCCTTTGATGTACTCTTAGGCCTGACTTTGCAGTGAAAGCCTTTCCACATTCATTACATTTGTATGGTTTCTCCCCTGTGTGAGTTCCCTGGTGCATTCCTATGCTTGACTTCTGGTTGAAGGCTTTTCCACATTCCTTACAGTCATAGGACTTCGCCCTTGTGTAAATTGTCTGGTGTTTTTTGAGGGTTGAATTCTGGGCAAAGGTTTTCCCATATTCATTACATTCATAAGGCTTTTCCCCTTTGTGAATGGTCTGATGTGTTTTGAGAGCTGACTGCTGGACAAATGTTTTTCCACATTCACTACATTCATAGGGTTTCTCCCCTGTATGAGTTCTCTGATGTACTCTCAGGCCTAACCTCCAGCTGAAAGTTTTCCCACATTCAACACACTCATAAGGTCTCTCCCTTGTGTGAGTTATCTCATGTTTCCGTAGGCCTGACTTGTGGCTGAAATCCTTCCCACATTCGTTACATTTGTAAGGTTTCGCCCCTGTGTGAATTCTCTGGTGAATAAGGAGGTACAATTTTTTACGAAAGGATATTCCACATTCACTATAGTCATAGGGTTTCAACCTTGTGTGAGTCCTCTGACATACACTGCAGGCTGACTGGTGGCTGAGGGTTCCCCTGCATATATTATGATCACAGAATTTCTCTGTTGTGTGAGTTGAATTATGGCTGAAGTTTTGTCCACATTCAAAGGGTGTCACGTCTGCATGATTTCCCTGGTTTACTCTTAAGTGTGACTCCTGGTTGAAACTTTGCCCTCCTGTGTCAGTTCTCTGAAAATGAGCAAATGAAACTTGCCATAAATGTCTGTCTGATTTCTTGGTTCTTCTCTACAAGGTTATCATATTGGCAATCTTCTAAAAATGAGAAAATTAAAAATATCTTATGAACCTTAAGATCCATTTCTTATGGGAAGGAGCCCATATATGTATAGTCTGTTATGTATTTTGACTCTTTGGTTCTAGTCCTATCACACAAGATTGATTAATTTGAAGGATATATCCCCTATATTGCTTTCATTTGAAAAGAAATTGCTGGAGTGGAAAAAAAAAGAAAACAAACCGGCAATGAATACATATGTACATGTGACATTTAAAAAATGTGATTTTTCAAAATTACATAGAAAGGAAGTACAGGAAAGGTACAATGAGTTCGGGAACTGGAAACATCTAAGAATAAGATAAATTCAACAAAGATTACGGGAAGTATGGACAGGACTGTCAGTGAGTAAGGCTTTCAAGGTATACATGAGAGGGTAGGATCAGGGATGAATATCCAGGTCTATGTTCTTACACCGCCAAATACAGACTACAGCGCAGGAAACTCATTAGTCTCCATGATTCTATTTGAAGTTTCTTTCTTTCCTTTTCCCCTCTAGTTTACACATCAACACCAAATGCATTTATAATAGCACAATTTCCTTCCAATTGAAAAAACAGGCCTATACCTCAAACTCAAACTCTCCTGGTTGTTATTCACAGGAAATGAAATGCACTAACGAGAAGAGCCATCTCTCAGTCTTGGCTGAGTTCCCTGCTCTATGTTAGCTCTGGGGCCTTGGTATATTGTATCAGGGTTGTTCAATAACGATACTTTCCTGACCATCACATTATAAGTTTTCTATCATGCTTACTCTCTCGCAACAAATCCATCCCCAAGTAATCCATAAGTCAGCATTCCATCTACGGGTCAATGTACATAGTTTCTACTGGCTTCTAGAACCTTAAGGACTATGTTTCATCCTGCTTCTAGAAACTTTAGATATTTTTTATATTCATTTAACATAAAAGCCTTTGCTTTTACCTTTGGTATGCTTAACTGCTATTACGCAGTGGCTACCCACATTCCAGCAACAATTTCAGGCCTATGCTGGAAATTTAACATGGTCCCTAAAACCACTGCCCCAGGTTCCATCAGATAAGAGTCATCTGGAAAACAATGTTTTACACCAATTCAGGAACATTAGCTGTTCAAGCTAGCATTACAGAAGTCCACCATATTTTTGGGGTGTAGTCTGGCTAGACTACTTGACACCCCTTAAATGAGTCATTCCAAAAAAATCTTGCCCTATATTATTTCTTTTTTTAGCTCAAATTCTACATAATCTTCAGGGCAAGACTATTTCCTCAAGTTAAAAAAAATGCCTTCTTATATCTCTCCATGAATTTAAGCACCATTTACTTTAAATCTGAAAGCAATTAAGCCTATTCCATTCATATGAACAATGGATACATGAAGAGCAGTTACATATATGGGGACACAATTTTTTCAAGTAAATTACTATCACTGCAATCACAGTGCATTTTAAAATTGATGACATCACATCCATTTTCTCTTTCCTAGCCAGATCTATTTTATCTTTTAACTGATGGTATTTTAAATGCTATGAAATATATTTTGTGCAGTTTTGCTTTCCTTTATCTAAAATAGAACACAGATTCTCTAATTTTCCTTGCACCCCTCCAGGATACAGAGAAGGGTCCTTGAAATACAGTGTGCCTGGAGCTACCTAGGCCTCTCTGTGACACATCAGCTCAGACATACTGCCAATGTATACCGGTTAACTCACAAGTCACAGAAATCTGACTAGGGCATTTGCATTCAATATGGAATACCTTTCCCCTAAAAAGCATTAGTGTCAATCTCAATGTAATTACAAAATATCATATATTACATTCCAGACTAGGAAAAGTAAGAAAGAATATTCTTCTTGGTAGAACACACACACACACATACACACACATTTAGTTTTTACTGTGTCCAAGTATTATTAATACAATATCTTCCTTTATGTAGATTTTTGGAATGTGCTTCTTCACGCCAGGTTTCTTAGATCCAACCACATTACAGCTATATAATTGTCCACTGTCTGAAGATACCTTTAAGTTTTTTCATAAATAAATATGGAAGTTATTTCTAGGTTTGTACTTTTTTAAAAGCCTTGATGCCATGGAAAGTCTGATTCATGTCTTCTGCTGAACATACTCAAGTCTTTCCAGAGAATAAACCTGGAATGGATAGCTGTCACAGGGAATGTGCATGCTCAACTTTATGAATACGCTAAAACTTTTCCCAGTAATTGTGCCAATTTACACCACTGCCTGCCTTGTGGACATTTCTCTTGCATTATCTCTTAATTATTCCTGGTACTAATGGAATGAGTCCAAAATCATTGTACTGTGGTCTGAATTTGCATTCCTGAGACTGCCATTAATGTTACATATTTTTCATGTTTATTAGCCATTTTTACACCCTGTTTGTCCTTTCTTTCTAATGAATTGTCTGACTTTATATTCGCAATTCTTAGAAATTAAATAACGTAAGTCTATTTGAATGCCAAATTACATACCAGGAGATGAGCCAGTGAGCAAAACAGTAAAAAAAAAAAACCCTTCTTGGAAAGCAATTGCTCCAGTAGAAACAGGCAGACAGTAAACAAAACATAATACATACTTGATATACGGTGTATTAGGAAATGAGTGCTTTGAAGGAAAAAAAGGGGGAGAAATGGACTGCCTGAGTTCACTGTCATGGGCAGCCATACTGACGAGACATGTAAGATCTGGATTCTTTATTTATTGAGGCAAACCCTCTGTGACAGATATTCGTAGCAAGTATTATCTCCCATTGTTTATCTTGTAACCATCAAACTCTGAAACCACAAAATTCTTCTGTGCAGTTTAAAATATGACATAGAATGAACACCTTTGGAGTCACCATCCACATCCAAGAGCAGAGCAGGACCACATCAGGGAAGACCCACATATTGTTTCTGGAGCAAGACTTTCTTCATGCTTACACATCATATCGCTTGTAAAATTCACATCAGTACCTTCCTGACTTTTCTTTAGAGTTTGCAGACTCTGCATACGTCCCTAAAAATATACAATTTAACTTTACCAGCTGCTTTATAAAAATTGAATCCTATAGCTTGCTATAATCATTTTTGTTTTGCTCTTTTGTGCAATATTGTGTGCAAGATTCCCCCATGATTTGGCTATAGTTTATAAGTTAGTACATTATCTCTGATGTGTAACACTCCATCAAATAAATGTAATTTACTTTTGCACTCATCTGTTGATGGGCGTTTGGCTTGTTTACACTTACCATATGAAGCCCACCATTTTCTTTCTTTTTTTTTTATTTTTATGTTATGTTAATCACCTTACATTACATCATTAGTTTTGGATGTAGTGTTCCATGATTCATTGTTTGCGTATAACACCCAGTGTTCCATACAGTGCATGTCCTCCTTAATACCCATCACCGGGATAACCCATCCCCCCGCCCCCTCCCCTCTAGAACCCTCAGTTTGTTTTTCAGAGTCCATCGTCTCTCATGGTTCATCTCCTCCTCTGACTTACTCCCCTTCATTCTTCCCCTCCTGCTATCTTCTTCTTTTTCTTTTTTCTTAACATATGTTGCATTATTTGTTTCAGAAGTACAGATCTGTGCTTCAACAGTCTTGCACAATTCAAAGCACTCGCCATAGCACATACCCTCCCCAATGTCTATCACCCAGCCACCCCATCCGTCCCACCCCCCACCACTCCAGGAACACTCAGTTTGTTTCCTGAGATTAAGAATTCCTCATATCAGTGAGGTCATATGATACATGTCTTTCTCTGATTGACTTAGTTCACTCAGCATAACACCCTCCAGTTCCATCGATTTCGTTGCAAATGGCAAGATCTCATTCCTTTTGATGGCTGCATAATATTCCATCGTGTATATATACCACTTCTTCTTTATCCATTCATCTGTCGATGGACATCTTGGCTCTTTCCACAGTTTGGCTATTGTGGACATTGCTGCTATAAACATCGGGGTGCACGTACCCCTTCGGATCCCTACATTTGTATCTTTGTGGTAAATACCCAGTAGTGCAATTGCTGGATCGTGTGGTAGCTCTATTTGCAACTGTTTGAGGAACCTCCATACTGTTTTCCAGAGTGGTTGCACCAGCTTGCATTCCCACCAACAGTGTAGGAGGGTTTCCCTTTCTCCACATGCCCGCCAACATCTGTCGTTTCCTGACTTGTTAATTCTAGCCACTCTGGTGTGAGGTGGTATCTCATTGAGGTTTTGATTTGGATTTCCCT